CGGGGAAAGGGAGAGAAAAGGGTCCCCCATAAGAGCTAAAACATCCTTGGTGGTTGGGCTACAGCAACAGTACTGTGAACTTGGCAACTGAAGATTAAATCTGTTTCAACATGCAGATTAAACTCGGTAACTATTGATTTTGAATAACAAAACACAGAGAAGCAAAGCTGTTTCTGAGCTCTATTTGTTGGTGATTGAAAGACACTGCAGTCCAACGCAACTGGAAAACATCATATTGTGAAAGGTAGAACAAGGGTATCCAGGGAAAAGTTGGCTTGACGTTAGAAAAGCTGCAAATGTAGAAGCTTTCAGCTATTAAATGTTCCAATTCTGAAGATTTTGGGCCTGGCATATAGTAGGATATTATAGAGCCAAGCAATTATTATTTCTTATTGGATGTAAGAATCTAACTTCCAAGTTTAACCATGCGAGGTACTCATCTTCCAAGGAAGAAATGGTGAACTGAAGCCATCTCTACTTCAGAACCAACAACTGCAGTGGTATTGAAGAGCTGGTAAACAGGCTGGCCCTTCATAATTCCTGTCTGGATAAGGAGATGATTTGAGATTGCACACAAGTGCTCCACACAGTTACTCCTCACAAGAAGACTACAAGACAGTGGTAAGAAGTCATTTCTTTATGTATTTCTTTTTTTTTTACTACGTTCTTTTATATTTTTCTTTCTATTTTGTCTTATCTGCACTTTCTGGGTTTTTTTTTCTGTTTATATCACAGAAGAGCTTTTTCTAGAGCACATTTTGAATTACTAGGCCTCAAGGGAGGTTTCTTGGAGTTCCATTTGAAGAAAGACTGAATTTGTGGAGCACCAGTTGTTGAAGATACGACTCTAAACTGTACTCTGAAGAAGGAGCTGCTTATTTAGATTCTTACTTAAAAGCTAAAAAATAATAATAATGGAGCACCCAGGAAAAAACTGTCTTACTCTTTGCAGGGAGCGAAGTAGCTGATCACTACTAACACCACACCTTTATTTGAAAGAGGATGGAATATTTAAATTGGATGGATGTTAAATGAAGACATGATGACTTACTATGGATGTGTCCTTCTGTTTTATTTGTATTCACTTGTATATTTGTATTAGTTTTATAGTTTTGATATGGCCAAATGATTAAATCAATAAAGATTCTATTTTGTTCTGTTCTGTTCTCTCCTATCCTATCCTATCCTGTATTTTTTCTGCATTCTATTCTATATTTTTTTCTGCATTCTATTCTATTCTATTCTATTCTATTCTATTCTATTCTATTCTATCCTATCCTATCCTATCCTATCCTATCCTATCCTATCCTATCCTATCCTATCCAAAATGAATCAGCTATACAAATCAACATATGGCTGTTTGTGTGTTTTTATTCTAAAACAGAATGAACTCTCCTTACCTTATTATTTTTAAACAGTATACATTCCACATTAGATTATACATTATTGGTACAATTTTTAATTTTCTGTTTTAGTTTTAATTAAAAAATAAAGCTCATTTAAGCCTTTCACCCGGCTGCCTAAAGAGCAGATTTAAAGTTGCATCATAAAATGTTTCAAGCCAACACACAGAAAGAGTTGCCAGAAGCCAAAGATCAAACGTCTGAGCAATGCAATCATTGTGACCAAGCCAAGTGAGAGGAAAGCAAGCCAAAGAAAAAGCAGACAGAATTATGACTGCTTTTCTTCTTCGTGGATCCCATGAGTCGGTTTAGGAAAGGTTTACTCAATTTGCTTCACTTAGTTGCCAAAGTTTAGAAGGTCTTATTTTCTGCTCATCCCCACAAAAAGTCAACAATAGAAAAATCCAGGAACAAAATCTCAAAGAAGGCCACTGGCTCACTGGCTCAGTGATATAGCTAGGTTATGAATACAACAATGTTCCAAAGTTCTGTAGCATTGCTACAGAAATGCACCCTACCCGGGTCCCAACTACAATGTGAAAAAGGAGGAATATCAGCCAGTAAGTAAGCGGAGTTGATCCTGCAGAGTATAGTCCTAGATCTAAGAAAGTTTTCCAAATGGGTAGCATTTATAAATTCCAACCAATGTTTTGCTTTCTACTGGAAGCTTCTTGAAAGCCAATGACTTGATACATAGCATTTGTGTCATGCGCTCCTGCAACGTGTACTAGAATAGAATAACAGAGTTGGAAGGGACCTTGGAGGTCTTCTAGTTCAACCCGCTGCTTAGACAGGAAACCCTACGTGATTTCAGACAAATGGTTATCCAATCTCTTCTTAAAAACTTCCAGTGTTGGAGCATTTACAACTTCTGGAGGCAAGTTGTTCCACTGGTTATTTGCTCTGTCAGGAAATTTCTCCTTATTTCTAGGTTGCTTCTCTCCTTGATTAGTTTCCACCCATTGCTTCTTGTCCTGCCCTCAGGTGCTTTGGAGAATTGCTTGACCCGTTCTTCTTTGTGGCATCCCGAGATATCGGAACACTGCTATTGTGTCACCCCTAATCCTTCTTTTTATTAGACTAGACATACCCAATTCCAGCAACCGTTCTTTATATGTTTTCACCTCCAATCCCCTAATCATCTTGGTTGCTCTTCTCTGCACTCTTTCTAGAGTCTCAACATCTTTCCTACACTGTGGTGACCAAAACTGGATGCAGTATTCCAAGGGTGCCCTTACCTAATTAAAAATTGCATTGTGACTCAACTGCAGCTTCCAAGCCGTCTTCGAAAGCATCTCTGTGCAGAAGATAGCCCATCTGTCTATTAGAATGCTGATGTTGAAAGCAGAAGGGCAATAAACAATAATATCCCTCTCAAATCTCCTCATACTCTAATATTTGTCAGGCCGTTGCTTTTTTAGGAAACCAGCATGAATAATTACTGTAAATCCACACAACTCTAAAGATATGTGGACTTCAATTCCCAGAATTTCCCAGTGAGACAGTTGAGGTACATACATCCTAGGATTTCTAAGGTCAAGAAACACTGGCCTAATATATAGTCACACAAAGAAAGTGGAGGATTTTCAAACTAGGAAGCAAGGGGATTGCCTAAACACTTTCTCTGGGGACGGAGAAGAGAGTATATTACATTTTCTTTTCATACCATTGTTTTGCTCTGGGATGGGACACAATAATGAGGCCCTACCGATACAACATTGCAAGAATGATGACCTGGTGATGCTCCGTTTTCCCTTAAAGCCTGGTATATTCACGGATTAAAATGGAAACATGACAATGGCAATCATTAAGTAGAAGAATTTGGTTCATCCATCTTGGTTATTCCTCTCTGCAAACCCCTAATGCTATATATCTTTCCCAGCTGACTTCAAAGCCACACTAAAATGCATAAAAGGCCATCATTTAAAATTTGTTCGCCTAACTGGATGATTTCTATTCCTTCTTAAGCCACATTCTGCCATCAAAAGGCAAGTTGGACTGAGAGCCAGTGTCCCCCCCAATAGGAACTAGGACAAAGAGAGGATGAATAACCACTCTCTTCATTCCCACTGGCTTTCCTTTGCGTTTTCCCCCCATCAATCTTACACAAATTCTCCCCAACGGCATTCAGAGAACAGATTGATAATACATCACTTTATATGAGATACACCTAACTGTATGGACCTGCTTACTCTCCAAAAAATTACGGGAAGCAGACAGATATCTATGGGTTCCATGGATCAGAAACAACAAAAATGTTATTAGTAAGATATGAATCCCCAACAGTGTTTTTTATTATTTTAGTATTCAGATTTTTAGCTAACTCATATAAATGGAAGTAGGATAGGAAAGGGCTTTGACTGTTGCAAACAAGAGTTTTAATTGTTGGTGGGGTTTTAGCTTTCTCATTATTTTATTGATTCATTTGTGTCCTGCCTTTATTAAGTTTTACAAATAAACTCAAGGTGACGAACGTATCCAACATACCTTCTTCCACTTATTTGCCCCACAACAACGGCCCTGTGAGGTGAGTTGGGCTGAGAGAGAGTGACTGCTCCAAAGCAAGCCAGCTGTCTTTCATGGCTAAGGCAGGCCTTGAAGGCATGGTCTCCTGTTTTCTAACCTGGTGCCTTATCCACTAGACCAAGAGTTCCCCAACCTTTCTGGATTGGTGGCAGGAGGGGCAAGGGAGAGCCTTTATACGTGCATGTGCATGTGCGGACGGGGCCGTGAGCACACACGTGACGCAGATGGGGTGGTGAGGGTAGCACCTGCATGGCGACAGTAGCACCCATGACGACAGTAGAGCCCGTGCAGCGCTTGTGGTGGCAGTAGCCCCCCCCCCCGGTGCTCATGTCAGTAGTGCCCATGCGGTGATGGTGGCATCCGTGCAATGCTTGTGGTGATGCTAGCAAGGGGGGGGGGTGCGTGCACATGTATGCTGGCCAGCCAGTCATGGGGCCCAGTGACCAACAGACCACGGACTGGTAGTGCGCCACGGCCCACCGGTTGGAGATCCCTGCACTAGGCCAAACTGACTTGTCGTTATTTTAATTCTCATTATTTTATTTTCAGGGTCAGAACGTTCTCTTTTTTTGCGGAAATTAAGTTAGAAAAAAAAGCAGAATATCTTTGTAAAATTTCATTCTCTTAAAATGGAAGACCAAGAAAAAAAAATATCATTGTATCCATCGTGATGTGTCATCACCAATGTTTCTTCAGAGCATTTGTTTCTTGGCTGCTGTGTTAAAATTAATAACCGTAAGTGGTTTTGGAACTAGGAATAGGTGGCTAAGGAACTGCAATAGTAGGAAATGGGTCATATACAATGGATGCTTCATTGTTTTAAAAGCAAATGAATAACTAACTGCTTACTGGGCACTCTCCCAATGTTTCCTGAACTTTCTCACACATAGTATTATACAATATAATCCCAAGAAAATTAAATTTGCAATGAAATGTAACTATAATTCAGGAGTTTATTTTTCTTCCTTTCAGCATAAGAACTTTTTTGTTTGGGCGAAGATATAAAAGCACAGCACTTTCCATTTCAAATAAACTTTTAACATAAAAGTAAGAAAAGTATTGGCAACATACCTGAAAAAGAACATAAACAAGGCAGCTGTTACACAGAATAAAAGGACCTATAAAAAGGAAAAAAGAACATTATTTAAACAGCTAATCCCAATAAGTACTCCCAAACCAAGATCAGATTTCAGGAAGTTTTAAATAATTCAGAGATCTCATTAGGCACATTATAAAAAGGGAACTTTACAGTGAAAAGTGTCAATAACAAAGTTAATGAAAAATAGGGGGGAGATGTCACATATTTTAGCCAGATTTTTGTGGGTGGCAAGGCAGCCACTGGGTTAGTCAATATGATTCTGTTTAAGCATTGCCTATTATGAGTTTAGATACATTTTGTTGTTTTATGCGTGCAAACCATCTAGAAATATGTGATTGGCTGAAAAAAGGAAAAAACAATTAATGAAGCAGAAATGTATATAAAAGACAAGATTGTGAATGATCACCTATATACACCTATCAAAAATAGAATGGAGAATTCTATCATTAAGTAATACAATGTGCAATAAATACAAATTAGACCAAAAAAGCCTCATAACAGAATAGAACAGAGTTGGAAGGGACCTTTGGAGGTCTTCTAGTCCAACCCCCTGTTCAGGCAAAAAACCCTATTCCATTTCAGACAAAATCCAATCTCTCCTTAAAAACTTTGATATCAGAACACTGTGACCATGTCACCTCTAGTCCTTCTTTGCATCAAACTAGACATACCCAATTCCAGCAACCATTCTTTATATGTATTTGCCTCCAATTCACTAATCATCATCAGGAGCCAAGGTGGCGCAATGGTTAGAGTGCAGTACTTCAGGCTACTTCTGCTGCCTGACAGCTGCTTGCAATTGGGCAGTTCGAATCTCACCTGGCTCAAGGCTGACTCAGCCTTCGATCCTTCCGAGGTGGGTAAAATGAGGACCCAGATTGTTGGGGGCAAGAGGCTGATTCTGTAAACTGTTTAGAGAGGACTGTAAAGCAGTATATAAGTCTATTGCTAACTTTGTTGCTCTTCTCTGCACTCTTTCCAGAGTCTCAACATCTTTTTTATATTGTGGAGACCAAAACTGGATTCAATACCATCATTTCAGACACTCTTCTAAGTAAATTAAACCAAGTAGCGGTACCTGAACACACTGGTAAGTGGATCTTAAGCTTCCTAACGGAGAGGAAGCAGCAGGTGAAGCTAGGCAGAATCACATCCGATGCCTGTACAATCGGCACAGGGGCCCCCCAAGGCTGTGTGCTATCTCCACTTCTCTTCTCCCTATATACCAATGACTGCATCTCAAACGATCCATCTGTTAAAATACTGAAGTTTGCTGATGACACAACAGTGATTGGTCTCATTTGAGACAACGACGAATCTGCATACAGACAGGAGGTTATACAACTTGCCTCGTGGTGTAACCGGAACAATCTGGAACTGAACACAATCAAACCCGTAGAAATGGTGGTAGACTTTAGAAGAAACCCTCCCATACTACCACCTTCTACAATACTAGACAACTCAATATCAACAGTAGAGACCTTCAAATTTCTAGGCTCTATTATATCACATGACCTAAAATGGACAGCTAACATCAAAAACATCATTAAAAAAGCACAACAAAGAATGTTCTTTCTGCGCCAACTCAGAAAGCTCAAACTGCCCAAGGAACTGTTGATACAGTTCTATAGAGGAATGACTGAGTCTATCATCTGCACCTCTATAACTGTCTGGTTTGGTTCTGCAACCCAACAGGACAGACACAGACTTCAGAGGATAATTAGGACTGCAGAAAAAACAATTACTACCAACCTGCCTTCCATTGAGGACCTGTATACTGCATGAGTCAAAAAGAGTGCTGTAAAAATATTTACAGACCCCTCACATCCTGGACATAAACTGTTTCAACTCCTTCCCTCAAAACGACATTATATAGAGCACTGCACATAGAACAACTAGACACAAGGACAGTTTTTTCCCGAAAACCATCACTCTGCTAAACAAATAACTCCCTCAACACTGTTCATCTATTACAAAGTCTGCACTACTATTACTGTTAATCTTCTCATTACTACTTATCACCCATCCCCTCCCACTTGTGATTGTAGGACTGTAACTTTGTCACTTGTATCCTTACAATTTATACTGACTGTTTCCTAGTATGATTTGATTGCTTATTGTACCCTATTATTATCATTAAGTGTTGTACGTTATGATTCTTGATTCTTAATGAATGCATCTTTTCTTTATGTACACTTAGAGTATTTACACCAGGCCAACTTCCTTGTGTGTCCAATCACACTTGGCCAATAAAGTATTCTATTATTCCAAGTGTGGTCTTACCATAAGGCAGGGATGTCAAACTCAAGGCCCATGGACCACATCTGGCTCACAGGTGCTTAGATCTGGCCTACGGGGTTGCCCTGGAAACAGTGAAGGATCGGCCTGCAGTGCCTCTGCCAGCAAAAATGGAGCTTGACGCAGGAGGATCCCCCTAGTCCCACCCAGGCCCCCACAGGTGCCCCAACACAAGGGACATTGAGCTGGCCATGCCTGCCCTCCCCACACCCGAGGTCAAACAGAACCCTGATGCATCACTCAATGAAATTGATTTTGACACCCTTACCATAAGGCATTATAAAGTGGCAGATTTATAATCGTTTCTATTCTTTTTCCTATCCACCTGCATCCATTAATCTACCTCATTCGTGCTTGTATCTGGATTTACTGCAGATTAAGCAACAATTAGCAAGAGTCCACAGACGTGGTCAAATTGTGAGCACTCTCTGCCTTGAGTTGCACATATAAACATTCCTTGCAACCCCCTGTTACATTTCCATGCGTTTCCGTTGCTACCTATTAGCACAAGCCCTTGCATAACTTCAGCAGAGGCACACTAACACACTTGTGTTTCAGCATGTCAGCTCAAGTTAATTATTTCATTTTATCTCAGCAGTGGGTGATGTTGGCAGCCGTTCAAATGGCTACAAGGTACTTTTTGATCATTAAAAGTCAACATGGGAGCATGTGATTAAAGAAAGACTGCGGGTTCACAGTAAGCTCTTTCACTTTTTTTGAAAGGCAAAAACTAACTTGTGCTAATTTTTAATTGCTGTTCTAAAACAAATGTGTTTGTAATTGTTAATGCTACTTTGATAGTTCATAAAAAGACAACGTTTTAAAAACTCTTTCTCGCTTTCTCCATCGTTGATAGGATTAACATTTTAAATCTAATATTTGATGTTTATCAACTCCCAAAAGCCTTTTTTTTTTCATTAGGTTGGCTGGAAAATTAGCTAAAAGTAAAGGTTTCTCCTGTCCAGTCATATCTGATTCTAGGAGCCAATTCTCATTTCTGTTTCTTAGCCGAGAGAGCAAGCATTGTCCGAAAACACTTCTGTGGTCTTGTGGCCAGCATTGCAATGCGTCACCCAAAATGCACCAAACTCTGTTACCTTCCAGTTTAAGTGGTACCTATTTATCTACTTGCATTTGCATGCTTTCAAACATGAAGTCCAACAAATTATAAGAGTAACACAATATAGGCAGTCCTCGACTTACGATCACAATTGGGTCCAAAATTTATGACGCTCAGCAAGACAAGTTGTTAGGTGAGTTTTGCCCCATTTTTACTATCTTTCTTGCCTCGTTGGTTAAGTGACGCACTGCAGTCGCTAAGTTAGCAACATGGTTATTAAAGCGAATCCAGCTTCCCCATTGACTTTGCTTGTCAGAAGGTCACAAAATGTGTTCCCATGACCCTGGGACACTGCAACTGTCATAAATATGAGTCAGTTACCAAGCAACTGAATTTTGATCATGTGACTATGGGGGTGCTGCAGTGATCGTAACTGTGAAAAACGGTCATCAGTCACTTTTTTCAGTGTCGTTGTTAAGTTTGAATGGTCACTAAACAAACTGTTGTACATCAAGGACTACCTGTACCAAAGATTATTTTCCTCTATGAGTTTTAATCATAGTTGATGTATCAGAGAAGCAATTTCTCACTGCGTTACTTAGATCAGAGTTCCCCAACTTTTTTGGTTTCACGGCCTGGCAGAATGGGGGTGGGGATGGTTTTGGCTGAGCGGTAGGCAAGTGTGTGCATGCAGCTCCATTTGTGCGAGCGGCGTGCATGCACTCGCCCGCTGCTCACAGGAATTACCCACTGTTTCCACGTCCTGGTTGCAAACACCTCACGGCCCACTGGTGGGCCACAGCCCAGAGGTTGGGGGCCCCCAACTTAGACCTTTTTATGTGTTGAAAAAATTGTGTGGACAAAAACATTATCTGGACTCTATAAAATTCTATTGTAGAACCAGACAGATTACATGTTAGAATTCCTATCTGAAAATATCTTAAAAAATATAGGAACCTGGCAGATTAAGCCTACAGCCGTCCATCTTATCCAATACGCTGTACTGCACTATAACTGGACAAACATATCTGAAATATTTTTAACAGGGGCAAAAGGGTCATCAGATCCTTTAAAAAGTGTGTTTTTCTTACTGTCCCTAATCAAGTGTTAATTAATTTCACTGAATGACTCCCATGTTCTGGTATTATGAGAGAAGGTAAGGGGAAAAAATCTATTTCCTCCACATTGTCCTGTTATTTCCTGTTGCCTTTATTTCTGCAAGCGGTCTCTTCCTCTATTACTTTTAAACAGGCCCCTTAACTTCTAAATATATTCAGCACATGTGATTTAAAAATATTTCTGTTGTTTGTTTGTTTTTTTAGTTACACTGTATTTCTTGGGAAAAATAATGAAAAAAATCATTATTCACATTTAGAAAAAGAACATCACCATAAATGTTCCAGAGGCAAAGGGATAGTTTTAAGACTGCAGAGTATGAAGAGGTAGTAAATAGGGATAATCATATAGTTGCATTAAATGATGGGGCGAACTAGAAAGCTTTCCTCCAGAGACTGGAAAAATAGAAGAGAAATCTGACTTATCCCGAGCCACGTACTATGTTAGAAATCAGGCTTTATAAATTTCTCTACAAAGTTAAATCTTAACCCTCTTGGGTTATACATGGCAATCTGAAAGAATACGGAGACATAACTGGACTCAAC